ATGTAATCTTGTACTAAATTACAGATTAGAGATTAAAAGGTGTGATGAAATCACTGCCTACTGACCAATCAGTTCTCTGGAATATTATGTTTTTATTCCTGGAAGAGGTTTAGGCATTAGAGACATTTCCATGTCTGTGATTGGTCACATGCTGCCAGCACCACCACTTTCATGTCAATCCTGGACTAACTTGTGAAATAACCACATTTTTGTGAACACTTAACTTGATTTCCAGTGAAGCTCTCTGTAAATGTCAAAATCAGAGCATTTTCAGTCCCAACTCTGCACAGCTCCTGGTCATATCTGTCACATACAGGTTCTATATGGAGCTGTAAGGCTGTTGATGTCACAGTAGCAGCTCCCTGAAAAAGATGCTAAGCACCAAAGGTAAAAGTGGTCATCAAGATGAAGAAGTCCTCTAGTAGCCTGTATGAGTGTGAAGGCAGCCCACAGTTACCCACAGACTAAGCAGAGTGCAGCACCAGTGGTTGCTAAAAAACAGAAGTTTGAGTTTGTCGAGGTCATGGAGCAGGACTTTTAGAGGGAGTGAGTTGGTGTTTTTCACAATGTATTTTTCACTAATTTTCTTTCAGTCTCTTTTAAAGAAACTTTTTCACTTTCACAATTTAATATCTCATACATAGACTCGGCTTCATTTTTCAAGTGGTCAGCAATTTTCTGTCCATTCGGAAATGTCGCAACTGTGTGGCTTTCAGGTCTCTGTCAGCTGATTGGCCTCCTTTAAGATGCTCCACCTCCTGTTCGTCCTGTCTGTTCTGATTGGAGTGTCAGGTAAACACACACCTGGAAGCCATTTTAAGTGTTTCCTCCCATCACTTTAGTGCAGGGGTGTCCAATTCCACTCCTCAGGGGCCGGTGTTCTGCTTGTTTTAGCAGGATGCCGGCCCTCCTCAACATATCTTGAAGTTCTCCAGAAGCCTGGTAATGAACTAATCAGGTGTGCTGACCCAGGGTGATATCTAAAACCTGCAGGTCACTGGCCCTTGAGGCCTGGAGTTGGACACCCCTACTTTAGTGGAAGCAACATAAACATAGCACAAACACCCTGAGCAAAAAAGAGCAGAAAGATTTGAAGTGTTAAAGGGAATGACGCTTTAATAACCTGACAAATATTGTGCATCTTTGTTTTTAAGGTTTGCTAACTTATAGTATAAACTGTAAATTCATGATGTTGATTCTTTAGTAACAAACACTGTTTTATCCACTCATGATGTTACTGTTTGAACCTGCTGCACTCCCTGTTTGTCCAAACAACTAGCTAAGACTAAAGCTCACAGCACTCATGTGCCTCCATATCTTCAGGAGCTTGGCAGATAATCACTGTTTCTTCAGTGTTGGACATCAGCTCATGTCCAATCACTTATTACGGACAGAAGTACGAGCAAATCTATGTGAGTATCCTGATGTTTTTATGTTTTAAACAATTCTGTCATCCCCACCTGTGCTGATGAGTATCGCCTCGATATACCTCCTGAGATTTTCTAGCAGGAGGACGTTTTTGTTCAAGAATTCTTTTATGAATGAGAAAATAATGAAACAAAAACTTCTCACAGAAAAAGGAGCTCAAATGTGAAGATAAAATTAAACCTCATGAAGGAGACCTAAACTCTTGACTCTTTCTTATCTCATTGAGGCGACCGTTTTGATGTGATGCCTGTGAGAGAAACCCCATGCATCGTTCATGTAGATGATTATTAATGGGTTAAATATGTATTTTATGCTTGTCTTTCTATATTTTATTTCTTTCTATCTTAATATTAAGCACCCAATTTGGCTTTCAATTAAATATATAAAAAATGTTTTCATCTTTGTAACAGTGGAATCAATATATTAAGATTGATCCTCTGGGTCTGACTGGATCTATGGTACGTAGAAGGCACATCAACATCCGTCCATGTATGCTGCAGTTTTTGCCGTTATCAGAGAGATAACCATGTTTGCTAGTATGGCAGGGTGTAGGTTGTAGCTGGGCTGGACCGGAGGGTTGGAGCAGTGGGTTCAGGGTGTGATTACTGGAGAGGCTGACCAGCACAGCAAGTCTTCATCATCTAATCATGCCTCCCCTAATTAAGTACGATGCCAGGACCTGACAAGAGCTGTGCGTCATGCTGAGCTAGAGGAGGCAACTAGTGGGTTTGTAGAAAACCCACTGATTAGTTGTGTCTTTGACTTCTAACAGGTCGCCTTCATGAGTGAAAACATTGCATTCTGCTTCGACAACTTTTTCAACCCTGAAACTGGAGGTGACTGTCTTGTGGGGACTGCACCTGACTCAGACAGCATTGAGTTTTGGATAAATGAACCCAATGCTGAAATCCAAAAGCTGATTTATGACAATGTAGCAACCATTCAGAACAGGATGGAATGCTATGTGTTGTTTATCATGGAGCTCAATGGGAAAAATGTGAGTTGTTTTAGACTAAATTAACTGTGTAAGAACAAAAAATAAAATTTGACATGATTTTTTTTTATCATATTAAACATTGGTGAACACTTTCAGAATTCCTAATAGTGTCTGAATCTTCTCTGTTTACTTTACAGTATGGTTTGGTTCCGGTTAATTTTGGGACACAAACTGTTTTGATTGTGGAAATATTGGCATTTGGTTCAGTGGTGAGTCTCTGCATGTGACAGATAATAAATAACATGTTAAGATATTGACAAAAACAAAAAACAACAAGAACATCAACAGAAAAACCCCAAACACACACACATTCAAAAAAAATCTGTAGTAGACAGACAGTTTCCATATCAGTAAGGATCATTCAGACATGTTTATTTCACAAGTAGATTTTTATCCATTCTTCTGTCTGAAATCAGTTGTCTTTACTCTGTGATTGTAACATTGCTTGTGTTTATTTCTGTCTAGGCATTTGAGGCTCAGGTTGGTGGTATCACAATTGATATGATGGCTGTTTTGTTCGGTCCCAGCAATCGTCAGTATCAAAGATTCTTTGACATCAGTGGATGCAGATATGCTGGTTGGTGAATCTCAGGCTTCAAAACTTGACCCATGTGTTCTGTATTTCAATGTTACCATGATGTTTCTGTCAGTTGTTATTAAACTAGTCAGCGATCTTTGAGTTTTAAACTAAACTAAACACTCATTTCAGGTGGTTTTCATGAATACGGTGCAGTGCTGAGCTCAGATCTGGAAACCTGCTCTAGTCTCACCTGTTCTGACACTGCTGCACTGCAGATTTCTGGCTGTGGCCCTCTGGAGCGTTGTGAAGGCAACGGCATGTAAATATATCTGTATTTGTATTTCAAAGAAACGTCTGTGATCACTTTCTTACTGGTCCCCACAGAGGGATACTCGGGCCTGAGTCTGTGTTTGTGATTTGGTGCTATATAAAGAAAATTTAATTGTATTCAATTAATGAATATGTATAAAATGTCTCTTCCCCACTGGTTTGGCGTTCAGCAGCACCTCGTGATGTTTTTTCATTCTTGTTTGTTTCCTTTCTTTCTACCAGCTGCATGTCGTACTCCACATGCACTGTGACTGGCCCCACTGTCATTGACTTCCACGGCCAGGTTAACTCTGTTGAGGATCGGTAGGGATGGGTACCGGTGTCCGGTGCCATGATGGCACCGGTTCTGACATAAACGGTAGTAACCAGACCGAA